GGAGGGGGGCTCAGAAGTCAACATGGACCTGAGGCTCTGTGCCAGCGGTGATGGGAAGACCCCTAGATGATCCCATTCAGCCTGGTGGCTTCAGATGTCAACGTCAAGTGCCCAGTTCTCGGGTTTGTATCTGCTGCCTGGATGGATCTCTCCCTAAACTCCAGATCCAAGGACACAATCTCACCACTGGGGTGTCCAACAGCAGCTCAACCCGACCACATCCCAAGCCGAATTTCTGACCCCCCCACTCCCATGCGTGCTCTCCCCACGGTCTGTGGAAAACGTCCACTCCGTCCTTCCCGAACCTCAGGCCGGGAGCCTGGGAGTCACCCTTGACGCCTGCCCTCAGGCGCTAATTTGATTCATTGGCAGGTCCCGTTGGCTTTCCCTTAAAAGCACATTCAGGATCCAAACCGCGTCTCATTCTCTCCTGCAGCCATCGCGGGCCAATCACCTTTCCCCTGGATTCTGCCACAGCTTCTCCGCTGTTCTCCCCATGTCTGCCCTGCACCCACACTTCGGTATATTTTTACTACAGCTACCAGAGGACCCTGTGCAACCCAAGTGGTATCATGCCATCCCCCTGCCCAAAACCCCCCCTTGGCTTGACATCACATTGTAAGAGCCGGCGTCCTGGCCGTGTTAACAAGGCCCTGCGTGATCTGTCCTCCTGTCCCCTCTGTGACCCCCTCCTCTGAGTCCTGGCTCCTGGGCCTCCAGCCAGGCTGGTCCCCTGACTGGTCAACAACAGCCGTGCTCCTGCCCCAGGGCCTTTGAGCTGCTCTTTTCCCCATATCCCCAACGCTCACTCTCACTTCTTCCAAGTCTCCATTCACACGTCACCTGCCCTGGCCACCTTCCTATCCCGCTTCCAGGTTTTATTTTCCCCTGAGCACGTCGTCACTCTCTGGCACGCTATATCTTGAGCTATGTGTACAGCTTATCCCTGCTTCCTCACAGACGCTCAGGTCCTGGAGAGGAGGGATTGTGTGGTATCTTCAGAGCCTAGAAACCAAAACCTAGCACATGGCAGGCCCCCAATAAACATTTGTTGGATGAACGAGTGAATGAGGCACTGTGGTGAAGAGGCTAAGAGCAGGGGTCCTGAAATTCAAGTCTTGGGTTCCAACTGGCTGACTAGTCATGTGACCTCAGGTGAACTCTCTCCCTCAGTGTTTTTGTCCATAAAACGAGGAAATGAATAGTCCCACCTTCCAGGAATTAAATGGCAGGGTTTTATAAAGCTTATAAAGCATTTAGCACAGGGCCTGGCCCATCTTAGGTGCTCAAGAATCATTACCTACTGCTCTAGGTCTTGGGCCAGACACCCCAGACTCCCCGTCTCTGGAGTTTCAGACTCCCATCCACCTGGCCCCCTCACATCTCCTCTGGGTGTATCTCAAACTGAAAATGGCCCACACTGCCCTCCCCCCAACCCGCTCCTTCCCTAGCATCCTCAGCTCAGGAAATGGCACCTTATTCACGCAGGTGTTCAAACCAGAGCTCGCCGCGGTCCATGGCGTGCCCCCATTTCCTGTGCCCGCCATCAGCAGGTCCTGGGATGGCACATCGTGGAAGGCTCTGCATTCACCTGCCCCT